AAAAAGACCTTTGGCACCATGGATAGGCCAAAAGGTAGTACTGTATATTGGAAATGTTGTCTCTCCCCCCCCACTCCTGTTGTGAATCTTAGGTACCTCCTGTGCGCAGGATGTATGGATATGTTGAAATACACGTCTTGGAGGTCGAGAGTTGCCAGACAGTCATCTTTGTTGAGGCAGGGTATGATGGTGGAGAGGGTAACCATCCTGAAGCACTGGTACAGGACATATCTTTTGAGAGCTCTGAGATTGAAACTAGGTCTCCCGCCCCCCTGACTTCTTGTCTGTGAGAAAATATTGGGAGTAGAAGCCGGAGTTTTTATATTGTTGTGGAACTCATTCCACTGAATTGATATAGAGCAGGTGGTCAATCTCTTGACATAAAAGGGATGGAGTGGGTGGTTGGATCATGGGAGGAGATAGGAAGGGGATGCGGTACCCGAACTTTATAAGATCCAGAATCCATTTGTCTGTAATTATGAGGCACCAGTGATGGTAAAACAGTGCTAATCTGTGGTTGGATAATAGGGTGATCAGAGGCTCGGGTGAGGAAAGATAAATCTGACGGCTCTCGACCAGACCTTCAAAATGTTTGCCTAGAGTCAGAGAACTGAGATGGAGTGGGTTGTTCAGCAGACTGTCGCCTTCTCCTGACGCTGGTGCTTTCTAGGGTCGTATTGTCTTTGGTCATTCTCAAAGAGGGAAGGTCTGTATCTCTGAACATGAGTTTTGTTTTGTTTGTATTTTGGTGCAGGAGCCTGGATGCCCAGCATTTTAAGTGTGGCCCTGGAGTCTTTCAAGGAGTGTAAAGAAGCATCTGTGCTATCAGTGAAGAGCTTCAAGCCCTCGAACGAAAGGTCTTCCACCTTTGTCTGGACCTCCTTTGCGAAACCAGAGAGGTGGACCCGGGGGCTCTTCTCATCACAGAGATGGCAAGGCTCATGAAGCTGTGTCAGCTGAGTCCAAAACAGCTCGGATGGAGACCCTCGTTGGTGTTAACTCTCACTTGTTCTATGTTTTCCTCTGGAAGGAATTGAATAAAATCTGTGATTTGCTCAAATATGTGATGAGTGTATTTTGCCAGCATCTCGGAGTAATTAGTGTTACATAGCTGTAAGGAGGCAGAGGAGTATGACCATCTTCCCATTATATCTAGACTTTTCCACTCATCAGGAGGGGTGGATTTGGCAATGTTTTGTTTTTCCTCTGATTCACTGCCTCAATTACTATGGAGTTGGGGGATGGATGTGAGAATAAAAACTCAGCACCCTGAGGATCCATGTAGTCTTTCCTATCCACCTTCTTGCCCACTGGGTGAATGGTGGTGGGTGTTTGCCAAAGTTGCTTGGCTGGGTCCATGAGGGCGAGCGAACCTCGTGGATGGAAAGGTATGGAGGATGCTCGTGAGTTTATGCTGCGTTTAGGCAGTGTGGTTAACTCTCGAGGACCTCAATTACCCTCTTAAAGAGGTCTTGGAAAACCTTAAAATCATCCCCAGATAGGGCTTGTAGAGACATGAGTGTGTCCCCTGGGGAGGAAAGAGATATCCGAGTAAATGAGTGAGAGGAAATAGTGGATTCCTCATCACTTAGTGACTATTTGAAATCTGTCTGGTCCCTTGAGGCATCAAGGGACACAATGGATGTAGGCCTGGACCTGAGCTGAGCAACATGGTGATGCTGTTGCTGCTGAGCCCTGTAAGGTGCCCTAGGGTCCCAGTAGCGCCACGTTGGGGGGCACTGGCATAGATGGTGGCAGACAATGGGCAGGTTGCCAACTTGGTACGGCTGGTTGTAAGCGAGGGAATTTGCGCCTCAGGGTAGAGTATCTGGGAGGAATTGAGGTCACAAAGCCTGATCCTCCTCACCAGATAACAGAAGTATGGAAGTGCCAGGCATATACATGGAAAAACCCTCGGTATGCGAGGAGGAATCTGTGCCAAACAATGGTGTCACGGGTACTGAAGAGATCATAGAATCATCTGTGGATGTATAAGGGCAAAAAGGAAGCACAGGTGGTAAAGGATATTGTGCTGGTGTATGCTTTGGCTTCGCGAGCAGAGAGGATAGAGCAGGTCCCTGCACTACCCTTATATACAGCACTGCTTGGTGTCAGTAGGACTGATGATGATGTTAAAGCCTTGCGCCGTTCAGCTGTGGCAGGCTTGGGCTTATCAGCATGTTTAGGCAAACTGGCCAGGTCCACAGATCCTTGGGGGGTTGTGAGTGAATGCTGCCCCAGTAAGCGCTTATCTGGCGCCCCATCAGGGGATGGAGCTTGCTTAGGATTCAGGGATCACCCTTTCTTATGTGAAAGGGATTACCTGTTTGCTGCTTTATCTGCTCTCTTCTGTTTGGAAGAGGCAGAGCTTGCAGCTGAGGCAGGGGGAACTGCCTTATCTGACATTGCCGCTAGTGACAGTAATAGCAGGGATGCAGGGTGACCAGGGTCTGACGCTGGTATGAGGGAATGTTTGAGGGAGATCAGGATGAGCTGAAAACCTCCCGGCTCTCCTGGGCCCAGCTGCCAAACTTTCACTGATGATAGTGAACTGCACTGTAATTGTCCAGACAATGTATGCACTGAGTACTAGTCTGACAAGACTGACAGCCTGTGAGGGGAAAAAATGTGTTTAAAACAGAGCTCCGGCTTGGGAGAACACTACAAAAAAGATAGTTGGAGAAAAAAGTTCAAATCTGTGAAACTCTCTCTCAGCCTTATGTGAGGAGGCTGAAGCTGAGGGAAAAAGAAGCTCCTCAGTGCAGGAGAGACAAGTCCCCTGAGGGTAAGCACGAGGCACAGAATCCGCACTTGTCTCCATGTCTGACACACACACACACACACACACAGACACACACACACAGTACTTTTTTTTTTGAAGGATCACAGATTATAGTAAATTATAATAAAAAAGGCTAAGTAAAAGAAAAGAAAAACTAGGACTAGCTGTCTCTGAGGAAAAATCTGCTGAGCACACTGCGAGGAGATCGTCTCTCACGCATGTGCATTAGCTGCCTAGTGCATGTAGCGCTTCTACGCATGTGTGAGCTAGCTGTCAAAGCCACTGCTAGTAAAATCTTCTGGCCAGGTGTGCTGCAGTCCCAAAGCACGTAAGGTGGAGCACCCACAGAGACACTCCTCAAAGAAGAATGATGGAATCTCTCCAGAGCTGCTAACAGGCTACTGAACCTGTAACAGTCACTCCTGGCCATCTCTCATCTGGCATGGAGAACTAAAACCCTGCCAAACACCTGGAAGGTGATCTCACCTAAAAAGGACAAGGGACTGCACAGTAAATGCAAAAGCTGCAGGCTGATTACCTTGTACTTATGCCAGAGAAGGTATATGTGCATTGTCTGGTGGCATATTTGGAGCCTCTGCTACATCAAAAATGTTGTGTCTAACAATCAGGTTTTATGAAGTCCATATTAAATCCCATTTTGTCCCTCCATTTATTGTCAAAGATACACCATAAATTCAAGAAAACCATGCACATAGAGAAAAGCTGCATTTGATTCAATTGACAAAGTGCACAAGTAAACCAACACTGTGCTGAACTTGATTAGTGAAGTGTATAATGGAACCACTGCCTGTGTATGTCTGGTGAATCACATAAGGGCACCTTTTAAATCAGTATGTGCTGTGATGCAGGCTGTCTTGGTCCCTACACTCTTTTGTTGGGCAATAAATGTCATAATAAAACCACCTTTGGACTTCAGAATAAGCAAATATTAGAAATAAAATCCTTTTCTCCACAATATTGAGGAGGAACTTTCTATATGGGCTTTGACAACACAGGAGTCTGCACTGCTTAAATTAACAAACTTGTAAGAGTAATCTGTGAAAAAGGTCAGGGAGGGAGGCAGGAGGAATATATGTGAATTGTAGGGTATATCCCAATTCCAGCATGCTTAGGGCATTTGATGTAATTTGAGACCAGACATTTAGGAAGTAGGACTAACGTGTTGCTAAAGGGAGGTAAGATCTCTGGGAGTTTTTTGTTATCATCATACAAAGAATCAGTAAGACTGTTTGGAAGTTTAATGTTGCGCAAGTTGAAGTAGGCAGAGAAGGTGGTCTCTTCTTTTTAGACCTGTAATGGTTTTTTGATCTTTAGGCTGTTTCACTTGGTAGTATGGGTACCTGGGCTTGACCTGAGGCCAAAACTATTTACTTTTTACAGCAGGGTATAATTATCCATTGATTTCAGGTTTATACTAGAATCTTTGGGGGGAGTTCAGAGTTATTTGTTTTGCCAAAAACAAATTTGAACTTTAAAAGGTCAAATAATCTATTGTGTGTAGGACTTCAACTGGTACAGCCATGAAATACGGTGCATAGTAGCGATGGCTGTCAGTCATTCCAGCTGCTGAGTCTGTTTCATCTAGCACAGCTTATGGAGAGGAATGGGCAAACAACCCTCATTTATAAAAGTCTTAAATACTTCGTTATCAAGTAACTTGTGCTGAAATGTAGGTCTCTAAAGCACAAAGGGGAAGTGAGAGGCACTTACACTTACATTGATCTTGAGCGGTGAAAGACCTACGGGTGGTGAAGGACCTGAGGTTGGCCAAGGCAACTGCCCCTTTCACTTCCCAGCGAAAGTAAACAGAGGGGTCACAAGCTCCCCAAAGGGTAATGCTTTGGTAAAAAGTTATCCAACTACGGTGCCCACATATCTATAGGGGAATGGACAGGTGCCACAACTCAAAGAATCATATATAATTTCTGGTTTGTATAGTAAGGCTGTATCTAAACTAAAAGTTTATTTCATTGTCAGTGTTGCTACCATCAATGTAGCTACACTAGCCCAATACTGAAAGTGTTGTCATCACAGTAACCTGGTTTATACAGTATTATCACTATGACTACCAGAGATGAAGCTGCATTGATGTTAGCAATCATGGGCAATAATTTGCTCAGGAAAAAAATGGTATATATAAGACTATAGCATCTAAATGATTCTGTTTTTGAACAATCATGAATAAATTGGAAGCTACCTGAGAATGTAGGTCAAAAGCAACATCTGAAGAACAAGGAATGGGTATGAGAAACTTTCACGGAGAGGTGGAGTCCACATCACACGTGTGCACTGAAAATAAGAACTAGATTAATTCACAGCATTTTCTGCTACATTTTAATTCCCACCCTCCACAAAGCAATGCATTTATTATTAAAAAATATCAACTACGAAAACTTCAATAGTACAAAAACAAACTGGATGAAGAGTCATTCACAAGTTAACAAAATAAGTTATGGAAGGAAAGAGCACACATGAATGAGTGAAGATGCAGCTTCCGGTCTCTAATCGTTGTGGGGATGGGTCAACCACTATTATTGGCTATCTCCTGACATGAGAGAACTGCAGCCGGAATGATACCCTGCTCTTGAAAAAAAAACCAACTGACAGCTCTGGAGAACTTTAGTGCACCGAGAAATAAAGATGTCAAAGTAGCAAAACAGGTTCTCTTCACCTCCACTTCTTTATGGCCATATATTGCAACTTCTTATTTACAGTCTTTGCTGAAACCAATGAATTATTCATCTGAGTAAGGGTGCGTCTACGCAGCAGAGCTTAACTCGAAGTAAGCTATACAAATTGAGGTAGACACAGAGTGTTATTTCAAAATTATGCTACTTATTTTGGGTATGTCTACACTACCCCGCTAGTTCGAACTAGGGTGGTAATGTAGGCATACCGCACTTGCAAATGAAGCCCGGGATTTGAATTTCCCGGGCTTCATTTGCATAAGCCGGCCGGCGCCATTTTTAAATGCCGGCTTGTTCGAACCCCGTGCCGCGTGTAGTGTATATAATGCTGTACAAAAAGGATAATACCTTTTTAAGGTTTAAGTTCAGTAAAAAATGTTCAAGATCCTGTTGTTTTGGCTTTGGAATCTGGGTAAGTTTTTCAGTAGCATACACAGTTGGGCCATGGAATCTCATTTACCCTAACGGTGATGGAGAAGAGACCATAATGATGTAGAAAGACATAAATCTGACCAATGGATCCTATTTTACAAGGCCAGCAGTTAATCCAGCAAAAGATTGAATTCATCTTCCTTGGTACCCACTGGGCTCTTGAGTGCTATATATTTTTAATATCCCTTTTACCAAAGTCAAGGAACTCTCATCTTTGTTCTATGGTGATATAGCCTATCATTCAACTTTTTCAATGATCGTTTTATATTTCTTTTTTAAAAAGTTACTCACTAACATTGCAAGACTTACTTGCTAAGGCAGCTACACGCAGGGGGACCAGGGAGAGAGACTCATAAGCCAACGACATCCTGCATGCCTATATTAGGTCTCCCTTATTGTGGCTCAGGCACAGTGAGAAGAAAGCAGAAGCTGTGTACCCAACAGCACTGAAGAAAAGAGGTTTTTTTACCTCATAACTGTGATTCTTCGAGATGTGTTGCTCATGTCCATTGCAATATAAGTGTGTGTACACAGTGTGCACGAGCCATTGGAGACTTTTCCCTCAGCAGTACCCTTAGGGCCAGCAGGGAGCCCCCTGGAGTGGCACCAGTATATCAGCCCATATATACCACTACTGGCCCAGCTCACCCACTCTGTTTCTTCTTTTATACTCCAGATAAAGGGCGTTGGGAAGGGATTTGGAATGGACATAAGCAACACATCATGAAGAATCACAGTTACGAGATAAGTAACCATTTTTTCTTCTTCGAGTGACTGCTCATGTGCATTCCAATACAAGTGACTCCAAAGCAGAACCTAAGTAGGCGGAGGGCCGGATGTCAAAACAACAGAGGAGTTAAGGACTGCCCTACCCAGGGCAGCATCCTCTCTGGCCTGATACGACAGCGCATAGCGGTTGGCAAACGTGTGGACCAAGGACCATGTAGCAGCCCTACATATGTCCAGGATGGGAACCTGTGCTGTGAAAGCTGACACAGCTCTCATAGAGCATGCTCTAAGAGTCAGAGCTGAAATGACTGCTAGAGAGTAGCACTCCCTGATAGTGGATCGCCTCATGGATAACCGCCTGTGAGTGGATACAGGTTTGACTCTCATGTGCTCCACGATGGCTACAAAAAGTTGTGGTGATTTTCAGAATGGTTTGGTCCTGTCTAAATAAAAGGCTTAACACCCTATGGACGTCTAACATGTGTAAAGCTTGCTCTTTCCCAGATGCACGTGGTTTTGGGTAAAAAACTGGTAGAAAAATATCCTGGGAAGTGTGGAATGCAAAAACCACCTTTGGCACAAAGGCTGGGTGAGGGCGGAGCCGAACCTTATCCTTAAAAAAACACTGTGTAGGGGGGATCTGACATCAGTGCCCTAAGCTCTGACACCTGCCTCGCGGATGTGATTGCCACTAGGAGGGATACCTTATATGGTACGTGAAGGAGGGAGCACGTGGCTAGCACGTTCAAACAGGAGCCCCATAAGTTTGGATAGAACCAAGTTTAGGTCTCACAGGGGAACAGGTTGCCAGACATGCGGATAGAGTCTGTCCATTCCTTTTAGGAACCCATTGACCATTAGGTTGGCAAATAGCATTTTCCCCCCTTCCCCTGTGTGGAAGGCTGAGATGGCCACTAGGTGGACTTTAATGGAGGAGGAGGAAGAAGAGAGATGCTGAAGCCTAAGGTCCAACAGGTAATCCAGGATCAGGGGGACTGGTGCCCCTTCTGAGAAGCCCAACAGTAAAACTGCTTCCACTTAGTGAGGTACATGGTTTCAGTGGAAGGTTTTTTGCTACCCAGTAGGACTTCCTGAACTTGTTGAGAGCACTGGAGCTCCTCTGCCATTAACCATGGAGTTTCCACATGGTTAAGTGGAGGAACTACAGGTCTGGGTGGTGAAGCCTGCCCGAGTCCGGGGATATCAGGTCCGGGACTAGTGGGAGGTTATGGGCCTCTTGCATGAGAGGTTGAGGAGGATCGAAAACCAGTGTTGCCTGGGCCACACTGGGGCAATTAGAATTAATGGTGCCCTGAACTCTCGCACTTTCAACAGGACCCTGTGAACTAGTGGGAAGGGTGGGAAGGCGTACAGCAGGCCTTGCGGCCAGTGGCGGAGGAGAGCCCCCCCAGGATACCCCCATCCTTGTCCCATGAGGGAGCAGTAGTGGGGGCACTTCATGTTCTGCCCTGTGGCCTTTTTGGACCCCCTGAGCCTACCATCAGGGCCAGGGTGTGAACCCTCCTAAACTGGCTTCTGTCTTGTCAGGTCCACGAGTCCCTCCATCGGCAACTCCTTTGGTCCGGTCCCCCATGTTGGCCCACTCGCTATCTCCGGGTCAGTCATTCCCAGACCCGGGGAAGAGCGCGGCTCTGGTGAGCCAACCTCTCCCTCCATGGCCACTTCAGACGATCCAGGCTGTACAGACGCCCCTGTGGGCAATATGGCAAAGGGGTCCTCGTCCTCCTCCCCGGACGAGGCTCTGGCCGACTCTGTGCCCTCCATGGATGTCATGGCCCACCAAGACCTCCTCCGCCTCCTGACCCAAAGTCTGGGAGTCCAGGCAGACAAGGTCTCCGAGGACTTGGACCCAGCTGTTGACATCTTGCATGCAGACACTCCTTCCAGGGTGGCGTGGCAGATAAACAAGACGGTAGCCAAGATCTTGGCAGTCTTGTGGCAGACCCTGGCATCCATCCTGACCACTGATAAGCGGACGGAACGGAGGTATTTTGTCCCCCAGGAGGGTAATGAACACTTCTTCTCCCACCCTCCCCCAGGCTCTTTAGTAGTTCAGGCAGTCAATCAGAGGGAGAGGCAGGGACAGCCCACGGCCACCCCTAAGAACAGAGAGGCTAAAAAGACCGACTTACTGGGTTGAAAAGTCTACGCATCTGGGAGCATCCAATACCGAATTGCCAACCAACAAGTCTTTCTGTCCAGATACGCCTACAACACCTGGGCATCAATGGACAAGTTTACAGACTTGCTCCCCAGAGACTCCCGTGCAGAGTATTAGGCCCTTCAGGAGGAGGGGAAAGTAATTTCCTGAATGGCGCTACAAGCAGCACTCGATGTGGCTGATGTAGCTTCTCAAGTTGTGGCCACCGCAGTTCATGGCTCCAGGGCTCCAGACTGCTGCTGGAAGTTCAAAACACCTTGCAGGATCTCCTTTTAGAAGGCATGTCGCTCTTCTCTGAGCAAACTGACCAGTGGCTCCATGGTCTGAAGGATATGAGAGCCACATTAAAGTCCTTGGGCCTTCACACACCTGCCATCCAGAGGCGTTCATATACTAATAGGACTGCCCCTAGAATGCCTCCACAGGGCCCATGCCCTGATTTTACCCATCATAGGGGTAGGGGTAATATGCTCAGAATCCCTTAGCTCACTCCATAGAATAGAAGCCGAGTGACTAGCTTAATCATCTGTGAACTTGAAATGAAGACTTTTTTCTGTTGCCATTCACCACCCAGTAGTCTTCTCCCAAGGAAATTATTTAATCCCAGGACCTCTGGCAGGATTAATTTATTGCCAACCAAGAGGAAGGTTGTAAACTGTGACAAAAATAAACTTAAATGTGTTTAGACCACATGATTTTGGGGGAAACAACTTCTGCAAATAGCTGGAGAGGCTCCACCTGTAAGATTATAAACCTCCTTTTCAACCGCCAGATACAAGTGAAGATTTCAGTAGAAACTGACAGCATGCTGAAGCAACCAGAATTGAAGAGGAGTCATGAAAGTACGTCATGCACTCCTTGCAAGTACTATTTCAACTTGACTCAGATTTATTTAGGATCTTAAAGCTGAGCTATGTGTGGATAATATGCAGTTTGCTGTGTGTACTAACTTGAGTTATTAGAAGGACACTGTGTAGGGGGGATCTGACATCAGTGCCCTAAGCTCTGACACCTGCCTCGCGGATGTGATTGCCACTAGGAGGGATACCTTATATGGTACGTGAAGGAGGGAGCACGTGGCTAGCACGTTCAAACAGGAGCCCCATAAGTTTGGATAGAACCAAGTTTAGGTCTCACAGGGGAACAGGTTGCCAGACATGCGGATAGAGTCTGTCCATTCCTTTTAGGAACCCATTGACCATTAGGTTGGCAAATAGCATTTTCCCCCCTTCCCCTGTGTGGAAGGCTGAGATGGCCAC